GCGCGGGGCTCCGGGCGCACCTGGGGCGGCGGTCTGGGCCGCGTCTCCTTCTCCCCTGCTGTCGGGGCGGTGGCGCAGGGGGCTTGGCCGCACTCTCTAGGGTCTTTAGTGACCAAGACACAGGTTGGGCGAGAAGAGGGCAGCAGGCCCAGCAAAGCCCGGGGAGGCGCAGAGGGCTCTCGAGATGAAGTGGTCTGGAATGAGGGGATTTGACCTTCGCAGTGTCCGGGGGCCCTGCGCCGGCTCCCTTCCTCCGAGAGCGCCATCCCTTGACGATCACGTTAAGGTTTTTATGAATGTTTGCAAACACTCGCTTTTGCGGCATTTAAGAAAATCCCTTTCACCTGAATCCGCTTCGTTGTTTTCCCCCCGTTCCCCGGGGCAGGTGGAGAGAGTGCGGGCCCTGGCCTGACCGCCTGATACTCTCACAGACGCAAAGGAATATTGTTGCTCCCTCAGTAAACGACTTTTCCCTAACGGCAACGCCTGGAGTGCACAACCCTCTGGGCTGTGTCCTTCTTGGCAGACAAGTGTGAAGGGCGGGCCAGGCTAGAGCCATCTTGCCCCCTTGCCGCAGTCCTTAGACGGGAGGACGGCGATGGAGAGAGAATGAGTATAACGAACAAAATTCACGTGTTGTTATCACTTGGGGCCTGGTGTATTTCTGAAAAAGTAAACAAGTGTAAAGGAATCCGCAGGAGCCGGAGGCTGGCCCCATCTGTGAAAACCCTCAACTAAAGAGATTCAGAGTGGGGTTTGTCCCTGAGCCCTCTGGGCGCCTTGGAGCAACGATGCAGACAAAGACAATTCTCACTATTCCAGGCTTGATACAATGTATAAACGAGTGACTAAAGGCGGGGGCGGGGGGGGAAGGGCTGGAGTCGGGGGGAGACCTCAGTTTTATCCCAACTCTGCCCTAATTAGCAAGTTGTTTTGGACATTTCTTTTAACTAACCCAGGTCTCCATGTCATCATCTGTGAATTACCATCTCCAGCACGTCTTTCATTCTTCATTATTAATGCTGATGCCATTTGCTCCTATGTTGAGTTCATGTGATGTGCCAGATACCAAGCTGGCCGCTTACCAACACTCTGATTTAATCCTTTATGGCAACCCCACAAAACGATTTTGTCCCCATTCTACGGATGAGAAGACTGAGTGTGCAAGGTCCTAGGAAGCCAGTGGTGGTTTAAGCCCAGGTTTATCAGGCTCCAAGCTCACACCTTTAGCTCAGGCCCTCAGTGGTAACCCTGAATTTCTTCTGAGATGACAGAGGTGTCACCTGACAGGCCCACCTGCTGCTTGAGAATATGATCTGAAATCGAGAAATCAGGAGGAGCCTTCAGCCCATGACACTCACACCCTCCTCCCCTTTCAAATTCCCTCTCAAGAGCCTTCAGAGTGTAGTCTCCTAGAGGTATGTTCCCATGGCCGGTATAAAAATCTTTCCTAACATGCTCAACCTCAAAGGTCACCAGAGAAATGCAAATTAAAACCACCATGAGTTACATTCCACACTTTCTGGAACAAACAGCTAGAACTAAAGAGACTACATGTTGGAGAGGATGTGGAGCAAGCAGACTGTAAAACAGCTGGGAATGTAAAAATGATGCAACCATTTTGGAAAATGGACTGTTTCTTTTAAGTGACATACTTACCCCATGAGCACATCCATTGCTGCCACCACAACTAACTGCTGCCTGTGGGCTGGTAAACTCCAGATGTGCAGATGCAGAACCTCTCTCCCCCGATCTTCGGAATGGTGGGTCCAGTGCGTCAAGGCCATCTCCCCCTGAAGGTCGCATGAGCACTCGAAACTCACCATGCCCAGAAATGGGTGGCCCCCCTACCCTTCCCTAAGCTGCCTCTCCTTTCTGCTCTGCTGCCCACTTGGGCTAGTGTGCTGGAGTTCAGACTAAATCCTTACCCTTTTCAGCTGGTTTCCTGGTGGGTCCGGCCACGTGGGGGCACTGGTGAGACTGGATCATGGAGGAAAGAAGCAAGCTGTTCTCCCTCCCTTCTCTGCTTTGAATGGAGTTTCTGGCAGTGGCTCCAGCTCCTTCCAGAGAGGCAGGCTGTGGCTGCAGCCTCCCACATGTCCCCCTCCTGGGCTCTTGTAGGGCAGCCTCCTGCTTCTGTCCCTCCACCCTCGAGGTGCTAACAGCTTCCCAGGGAGTTTCTTCCATCAGGATGTAACCAATCCCTACCTGAATCTCCTCTGTTTTAAAGGCTGTACATAGTGGGTTTGGTGATGCTGGTTGGACCTAGACTGATACAGTGACCCCAGCATCCCCTGCCTGGCTAGCATTCTGGGCTCCTCTCTTTCCCTCCCTCCTCAGCCCTCCCCGGTAAATTGTCAGTCAACAAATTTTGCTAATTCTACTTCTCAAATGTTCAAGCCACTCCCTCCCCTCCATCCAACTGCCCAAGTAAAGCCCCTCTCCACTTTCTCCTGCATTATCTGAATATAGCCACATCCATTGCTCAAACTTCCAAGTAGAATAATATATTTAAAAGGCCTACCTGAACCCATTGTACTCCTGTCTGAAGCTCTTCCCTGTCCCCTGGTGCTGATGGGAAAGCCCAGCTCCTTAGCATGGTCTCTAGTAGTCCCTAGGGGCTGGTTCCTGCCTGCCTTTCTCCATCCCAGTCACTCCCTGCTCTGGATCCTTCAGCAGAGCTAAATCCAAGTGCTCCCCCTCCAGACTCCAATCAGGCTATCTCTACTTCAGGCTCAGGCTGGTCTTTGGCCTAAAATTCTCTTTCTTGTGTATCCTTCAATCACCACCTCCAAGAAGTCTTCCTGGATTCCCTCAGTCCCCGCCATTAGATTGGTGCTGCCTTGGGCTGGTGGCACATTCCACTTACACATTCAACTGGAATGTTCTCTGGACTTTGCCTCCCTCCCCCATCATGTGTCATTTCATTCATGCATCCCTGGGCCTGCTCCATTGGAGGTACACTGTGGATAAATGTGAGAGCCAACCAAATGGAAGGTGAAATGCTACAGATGAGACAACTGAATAATTTCTAAATCTTGAAAGAGAAAACTAGACAAGCACTTGAAGATAAAGGAATAAAATATTCCCAATTAAAAAAAAGAAGCTTGTAACCAAAATGAATCAAATTAGAACTTACCTTAAAAGAGGTGCCTTAACAAATTAACAACATTATTGCCCAGAAGTCACCAGGCAGCTCCTTACTTTGGAGGTCAAGGTAAAAGGGACCGGACCCCTCCCCCAGGTTCACGGCCTGTAGAGGAACACAGATTTACAATACATTTCTAATTGTAAATGAATCAGACTTTTTCTGGCTTTTCCGTCAGTCGTTGTGAGTTTTGTGAGCGGCTACTGCTGGCCTACACAACCCTGACAACTTCCGGTCCCTGGAAACTGCTACATCAGATCCAAACCTGGGTCTAGTTGAGCTCACCAAGGAAAAGCCACGTGGCAGGGCTCCCAGCGCTGTGTTAGCCCTTCTCTCCTCTGCGTGCAGATGGCCTGCGATGGGATTTGGCCTGCATTTGGTGGTTTGGCTAAAAAGTAGCCAACCGGCCTGAGATCCATGTGCTGGCCGTGGCCACTGGCCTGCCCTGCCTTCCCCTCCCCGGCAAAGCTTTCCCTCTAAGAAAACTAACCCAAAGTGCACGCCACAGGCGTGCATCTCCCCTGCGAATGAGAGCAGCTGTCCCTACTCGCGAATACTGACAACAGGCTCCCCTTTACAGAGCCCGTCCCCCGTGGCCCTCATAACGCCTCTCCTCCTCTCTGCAGACCCACCCCTCCCCCGAAACTCCCCCAGGCGACTGCGCGCTTTATCCTTCGGGCTTTATCCTTCCGGGTGCTGCTTGCGCTGCTGGGTTGGGTTTGGTTCATTCCTTTCCTCCCTGGTGGCTCCGGCTGGTCCTCCCAGCACAGCATTAATCTGCACGGACTGCGTGCGTCTGTTCCCCCTCAGGACCAGATTTTATAAACTTTTCAAGGGTCTTCAAGATCCTGTCTTTTCAGTCTCGGCATCCCCTTGCTTTCAGGCCCCACGCCCCCAGCCCTGCTGAGAGTGGAACATGTCCCAGGCCCACCTAGACTCCTCCTTGCCATGTCCAGACCTGCCTGTGGACTTGATAGGTGGGGCAGAGGGGCTGCGGCCGGTAGTGGGTTGAATGGGGACAAAAAGGGAGAGAAGTCTGCCTTTGTTCTGAAAACAAACACATAAAACCAAACCATTACAAAGCTCTTCACGCAAGTGTAAGGCAAGCATCCTCACCTGCTGCCGGCTGGGAGGGTGACCTGCTCCTACCCAAGCCTCATCCTCGTATGAAGCTTCATCCGTGGTCCTTAGAGATGTCAGGCGCGTGTTCTACTGAAGAGCCAGGCCCAGGATCCTGCCTCTGCCTGCGCTCAAATGCCAGCTCCAGCACTGACCGGCTGGGTGACCGGGAACTCAGCCTCCAGGTTCCCTGTCCGTCCAGCAGGGAGGTGAGAGGACCACCTCCCAGGGTTGGCAAATGGCAAATGAGGTAACACACGGGAAACCCTTAGCACCAGTGACGGCATGAGATGAAAACGTTAGCTGTGATGGAGTGACTGGATTTCTAGGAGTGGCCTCCTAAGAGGTTGCCCGTGGGAGTTTAGGAGCAGAGTCTCCTGACTTGGGGGTCAGATCGTGAAAGACGATGAACAGGACTTGTACACGGCAGTCACCGCGGCAGGCCTGAGACTGCTGTCCTCAGGGAGGCCTGCTTGCAAGGTTGGTGTCCAGGAACGTGGGTTTCAGGAGGCTCCCGTACTCCCCAGTAAGAATGGCTCCCGAGACTCACCTGCCTATGGGTGCTGAAACCTGCTCTGCTCTGGGAGTCAGGGGTTTGCTAGCGGCTCCAATGGGACCAGCACCCAGTACAAACCTGCGGGCTGAGTCTCTAAGGAACCCCCCTGGCTGGAATCTTGCTCCTGCTGCTCCGCCTACCTGACATTAAAGGACAAAGCAAGACACGTTGATGGGCCTAAAAATAAAAATTAAACTTTCAGCTTTATTTCATCTAGAAATAAAGCAAGCTTTATTTTTTAATGGAGGTACTGGGGATTGAACCCAGGACCTCATTCATGCATGGTAGGTATGGGCTCTGCCACTTGAGCTACACCCTCCCCCAGCCCTTCCTCTGATTTGCAGCCCCACCTGACACCCCACCATTCTGCAGACTCCAGTATGGATTTGTCTCACACTTTGGTTTCATTTTTTGGAAAGAAATATTCCTCTCAGTTGTCATGGAATGAAAACATGCAGAATTATCTCCGGTTTTTGAATGTCTTCCCTCCCCACCGTCCCCCACAATTTGTTTCTTGGAGGAGAAAATCTGCTCATTAGAGCTAAATGAGTCCCCAAAGCAAAGCACTGCTTTCTACTGCAAGATGATTCAAGGCAAGCGTCTGCGACAGAGTGGGCTGAGGATTGGCTTGAAGCTTGAGAAAGAGACGTGTCCGTGAACCTGAAAGTCTTAACACAAAACCGCAGCAACGGCCCATCACCCAGCATAAAGCTGACCCTAGTGAAATGCTGCAGCCCCACAGTTTGGGTTTAAGTCAGATCAGATAAACAGAGCCATTAATAATTATGAGGGAAAAGAGTGCCACTCAGACAGCTGAAGGAGTTTCACCAGCCCTGGGGACTCCCCCATTCCCCACTTCCTCCCCCTGCCCTGGTCTCTGAGAGCGGGTCCTGCAGGAGGCTCTGCTCTGCTGCTCTGCTGAGTTTCCATCTGAACCCACGTGTGTCTGCTGGGGGGTCTGACCAGAGAGCCTGGCTGACCTCCGTTTGCTTTTCTTTCACAGGATGAGCAAGACTGAGGAGGAAATCACGGTCTGGCAGGATCCCTGACACTCTGGTTATCCCGCCTGGGGGTCTTCAGAGGGATTTAAAACTGCTTACAAAGATCAAGAAAACTGGGATTCTTGTTGAAACTGGCCCGTGGGTGCTGGAGTTGCTTACGTGGTTATCTGCATTTCTGTAGATGTTTGAAAATCTCCAGAACGAGAAGTGTTTTGAAGAAGTCACGTTTGACCTAAATACATCAACTCGATGAAGCAAACGGTGGGGTCTGCCGTGTCGCAGAGCCCAGCTGCGGCCTGCGGGTCGGGGTGGGCACACATGCCAGGTGAGCTCATCTGTGTGACACAGAAATGTTCTATGATTTGAATACGATTTGCCGAACCACTTTCCCCACAGACCTCATCACATGAAGAAAGAATCCAGATGTGTCTGCAGCGGATGGCATCGAACGCTTCGCGGCACAGATACGGGTGCAAACTTTGTCCCGCTGAGGCTTTACTGGTTTATATGAGACTTGGTTAAAGTTTAAATTATGATGAGACCGCTGTACTGTACTGCCCAGGGACCTATATTCAACATCTTAGAGTAATCTATAGTGAAAAAGAATATGAAAATGAATATGTGTGTGTGTGTGTGTGTCTGAAACATGATGCTGTGCACCAGAAATCGACATGACATGGTAAACGGACTGCACTTCAGCTAAACAAAGAAATAAATAAGTAAATAAACATATGATAAAACCACAGGGAAAAATCATGATGGGGCCATCTTTCCCTGCTTGTGACGGTGGGGGAGGCGGAGGGAGGCGGGGGACGGAGGGGACCTGTAAATACGGGAGACTTGAGGGAGCAGCTGCAACATATGGACCTTACCCGGATCCGGATTCAAACCAATGAGTCATTTAAAAAAAAAAGCACCTGTGAGACTCTAAACACTGACTAGATAGTCCATGACATTCATGGATTCTAATTACGTTTTCAAGGTGTGATAAAAGTATTTCAGAAATGTTTTTAAAATAGGGTTTTTTTTAAAAGAGATATGTACTGAAACATTTTCATATGAGACGGTCTGACATCTGGAATCTTCCCTTCCTCTGCTAACCTAGGGCAGGGTGGTTAGGGGAGGGGGCGCAGGCAGAGGAGAAGGAGGACGCTCGTTGTGGAAGATGCAGGGTGCGTGTGGGTGCGCAGGTGTGCGTGATGATCCACAGTGAAAGGTGACGTCTGTGCTGAACGAAGGGGCCCCGTCTGTGCTCCTGCCTCTCGGACAATTTAAGAAAACCACGATCGCTGTTGTCAGGCCCCGTCTCTGCTACATCCCACGCAGGCCTCCGAGCAACAGACCTAACAAAGCCAGCCCCCACCCCCTTCGTTCCTAAGCCAGAAAGCGGCAGGCGGACAGGACCACACGGACACCGCGGCATTCTCGCTGATAATACTGTTTATTGTCCACGGACCGAGCGAGCGCGCACGAACGATACAAGGCATCGGGGGCATGTGCTGTCTGCTTGTCGACTTTCTACAACTCTCACGTGTTCCCGGCACAGGAAGGTCTCGGACTTTATATTCCAGCAAAAACACATGGCCCCCAAAATTTAAAACACAAACACACAAACAAAAAATTCCCAACAGAAACAAAATCAACAAAGCTTTAAATTACGGCGGCGAGTCCGGTATTTCTTAATACTTAATCAAGCAAAGATTTGGAAATAACTACAATGTAAACTTTATTTTAAATATTTCGAGTTGCTGGCATGAAGACAAGACTAGCAGGAGGAAAGAGCAGAGCTTAGAATATAACATAAATTAACGCCAAATGGAGAGCCTTCTTGAACTATATATATACGGCACTTAATCACTGTTGACGGTATCTGAGTGGCTTCTCTCGGCCACCTCATCTTGTTTTGTTTTCTTTCTTTCCTGCTCATCATGGCTACAAGACCAAAGTGCTTAGACTGAATATATAAAGGCCATCTCTTAGAACCAAACCTACTGAAAGATCCTTTGCTTTGTAACAACTGGAAGCAGAAAACAAAAGATGGGAGGCAGAGAAGCAACGCTACTCGAGGAACGGAAAAGCTCTGGAGGAACCACCGTCACAGGCGAGCTACCATGTCGTGTGCACTTTGGGTCCAGCGCTTCCACGATGCAGAAACCTTTGAGAAAAAAAAGGTGCGCGTCCAACCCCTACCAAGGGTAGTAAAAAACACAGCACAGGAATGATTACAACGGATGTCAGAAACCGAAACATTAAAAAAAAAAATCAGCAGAAACAGGAGTAAATGTTACATCGGATAACACCGTACAGGAGGCAGACAGGGGTGGCTGTTATATTGATCGGAGGGTCTGGTGTTCTTGAATACACGGAAATCACACGGACTGGTCCATTAGGACATCTTACAAACTTCCTATCACTGTACAGCATGAAGGCGGCCCTCGGAGCGGGGCGGATTCTCGGATCTTCTCCTAGTCTGCCCTAGAAAGGGAGTCATCAAAGTCTGTGCTGACCAGGTCCCGGGTGGGCATGGGGGCTGCACGCCACTTGGGGGTCAGGAGTCTTAGAGGTGCTTTGGGCTCACTGCAGAAGAGAACAGGCTTAGAAGATGAACTTTGGAAGAATTCCGCAGGACCACTCCCAGGCCGACAGACTTCAGTTTCACTGTGTGTGCGCACACACGCATGGGCATATAGGTGTATGTTTGCATAACATTCATGATAAACTCAGAACAGTTTATCTTGGGAGGAAAAAGGAGATTATCTTTACTGTTATTGAGAAATTCCTGCCTATGTTAACTGGTATCAGAAAACCATCTTTAGGGAACAGATAGATTCCCTATGGAGTTTCTTAACTGAGAGATCTTTGTAACATGAGAAATAGAAGCAGAGGTGGGGACACCTGCAATTTGGGTTCACATATTATCTGAGAATTCATCTTTAAAAGGATGAGAAGTCTCGTAAAGCCGGCCACAGTGTCCTGGAGGCCCAGAAAGCAATGCGGGTTTTACTGACGCCACCTCCCTCCAAAATTCGTCCTTCCCTCGGGAGGACTTCATTCTCTGCTTAGCTACCTTCACTCCCGGAAACCCCTGTGTGGCAGAGTGACTGCCAGTCCTGGAGGGAGGTCATATTATAACCTCTGGTACCTGCCTGGGGGGCTGGGAGGTGTGTGGGGGGCAGAGCAGGACCCAGCTCGTGCCCTGGCCCCACCCAGTCCCGAGCGAAGCTCCCCGACCTCGATGCCCGAGGTCAGAAAGAGGAGGGAGCGAGAGGGCTCTCAGAAGCTCGTCAGCCGCGTGCACCCTCACGCGCCTGCCCCGGGGGAGAACGTCTCAGAGTCCCCCAAGGGCCAGGGGTCGGGGGTGCGATTAGAAGGACTTCGCTGGAGCTAAAGCTTGTCGCTTGCACTTCTCTGTGAGGCCCGGGAGGGAGGCTCCCACTGGAACTCTGCAGATTAATACGATTAATTGGGGCTCCTTCAAGAGCAAGCCACTGGTCTAGGCTGCTCCTGGGCACACACAAGTCACAGGTGCTGGGAGTCCGGGGTGGACACAGGGGAGACGGGGGGGGCAGGGGTCGCCACCCTATGGGCCAGAGGTGTGGCAGCTGCAGGAACCGAGGGACACGCCCCTCTCAAGATGAAAGGGACCTGGTAGGCCTGCTACACAGTGTTGCAACGACCCTCAAAAGTTTCTGCAAAATGCACATTCCCAGGCACTGCCCTGCCAGGCCAGAGGACCCCTAAGTGCTGTCTGCTCAGCGTCTGTGACAGTGCCAAGGCCGGGCCTGGGAGGGGAGCCCGTGCATCCCACCCCGCCCACACCCAAGGATGGGAGATCGAGACGCACGGTGCCCAGGCTGGCGGACGGGGCATGGGCCCCACCTCTGCCTGCAGACCCACAACCGTGTTCAAGAGGAAAACAGGGGCGGGGAGGAGAATCACACTGATTTAGACCCACTTGGATGACTGCTTTATTCATGCTGTTTCCAGGAAGGGATGTCGGAGCTGGACCAGTCTAGACTCTGGGAGGCTTCTGACAGGCCGCGGGGTGCTGGCGGCCCGCTTACGGGTCCTCGATGTCGAGAAACTCCTGCTTGGGGGGTGCCGCCCCGCGGTACCACGCACAGGACCCGTCGCTTCTCTTGATGCAGGAGAAGAACTTGGCCTGGTGCCCATTGATGTTCTTCTCCGTGACCCAGTCCATCCAGAGGCACTCATCCGGGGCGGAGATGTAGCAGGGGATCATGGGGCAGCGCGTGATCTGGGGAGGGGACACAGGGCGGGTCACTCGGGGGCTCTCCAGACCCGGCCATGCACCTGGGAAGGCTTCAAGGGTGCTTTGCAGGATGAATGACCCCGTGAGTGCAGCAGGGAGGGAGGCAGCTGAGACCGCGCCTCCGTCAGCAGGCTTTCCTGAGTCCCACACCCTCAGACAGGGCAGTGGGGACACCGCCTCTGCACCCCTGCCTCTGGAGACCGTGCCTCCATCAGTAGCCTTTCCTGAGTCCCATACCCCACCAGGTGGGACAGGGTCGGGGGACACCATCTCTGCACCCCCAGCTCTTGAGGTGGCGCCGCCACCTGGGGCCATCTGGTCTACCTTTTCCAAGCACGACAAACCGGCTTCCACTCAGTCCCACCTTCCTGGGAGTTGAACGATAGTAACAACATAAAAGGTCTTGAATCTACAGGACAGGTTCAAATCAAGGAAAAAGAACAGTGTCTTGCTCTCAAGCATGCAGGGACTTCGAGGGGACCAGCAAGGAGCATGTAAGCAAAAGAACCTAAGTCCACGGGAGGGTGAAAACCTTCGGGCCACGGAAAGACAAAGGAGGAACTTGTTTCTTGACTTCACGTGGGCACAGAGGGGCTCGCTGGACACATGTGTGGCTGTCGGTCAAAGTTCACACTAGAATAAGCTAAGGGGTGGGTCGGCGAGGATCCTACCGGGACAGGCAAGAGGGCCGCGCAAGCAGCGCCAGCTAGCACGGGGCAACCCCTGCAGCCTCGCGCTTGGCCCGGCATCTTCTGGACCCAGACTCACTGCTGGTGGCCCCGCGGTGCTTCCTGCGCTGGGGCTGAGGTTGGGGGTTGTTGGTGGTGACAGAAGGATGTTGAGAGAACAAGATTGGAGCCCACAGGGCTCGGAGGAGCTCTCGCCTCCTGTGGCTGCATCTAAGTGTCAGCGCTGCTGTAACTGTGCCTGGCACAGCCCCTAGGCGGCTGTTATGAGGAGGGGCTGGGGTTTCAGGGGTTCTCAACACACAGACCCCACAGTTACATGCACCGTGCGTGGGAAAGACTGGAACACTGTCAAAGGCCTGTCACCTGGGACACTCTTTCACAAGGCACACCAGTCTCTGCACTTGTGTGTTTGTAGAAAAATACTCCGAGGACCATGTTCTGCCCCAAAACTCCTCCTTCTAGAAGGCTTCCTTTCTAGATGTTAGCTAGCTTCCCCGTAACTCCCAACTGTCCCTGGCGGGCCAGACATCCTTACCCTGTGGGCAGGCCACACGTCCCCAGAGCGTGGCCCTAAGTCAGGACCCTGTGGATTGAGAGCCCCTGGGAAGCCTGGGGTTGAACCCCGGCAGCCCACCTGGAGGTGGTGGTGATGAGAAGCCCGGAAGGAGGTGGCAGCCGCTTACCTTGCACTCGCAGCCCATCTGGTACCTGTGGTTCAGGCTCTTCTTCTGGGTGGTGCTCAGGGTGTCCCAGGGCACGATGAAGTCGCAGAGGGTGATGTGCATTTTGCCATTGCCCTCGGCCTTTCCTGAGGAGACACGGATCACCAAGGTCAGGGCAAGTTACGGGTCCTCCTCCTCCTCCTGCACCTGGGCGCGGCTTGGGCGTGGGGAGGTTCCGTTCTGACAGTGCCCCGTGCTGTGGGCTGGGTCGTGCCCCCTCCAAAGTTCAGATGTTGAAGCCCCAACCCCCAGCACCTCGGAATGTGACCGTATTAGGAGAGAAGGTCTTTAAAGAATTGATTAAAATGAAGCTATGCACGTGAGTCCTAACCCAATAGGACTGGTGTCCTTATAAGAGAAAGATGAGGACACAGGCAGACACAGAGGGATGACCACATGGCGACACGGGTAGAAAGTGGCCGTCCACAAGCCACACAGAGAAGCCTCAGAGGAAACCAGTCCTGCCCACACAGGGTTGATCTTGGACTTCTAGCCTCCTGAATTGTGAGAAAATACATTTCTGTTGCTTCAGAACCCCAGTCTGCATTTTCTGTTCCAGTAGCCTGAGCAGATTCACACACTGCAGATTTATCCTGAGCATAAAAAGAACGCGGGTGGGAGGGGAGAGCAAGGTGGTAGCGCATGCGCTTAGCATGCAAGAGGTCCTGGGTTCAAGCCCCAGTGCCTCCATACAAATAAGTAAATAAATAAATGAAAACCTAATTACTTCCCTCTCCCCCCCAAAATTAATAAACTTTCTTAAAAAAAAGAATGCAAGCTCACTATAGAAAACTTCGAAAATGTAGGAAATACTTCTTCAAATCTCCTTTATTCTCATGACCTAGAGCTAGTATTTTGACTCATTTCCTCCCAATATCCTTTTATGCACACGTATTCACACACAAAAGATCACGTTGTGCGTAGACTGCGCTGTTCCCTGTGTTTTCACTATTTACTCACAAGCATTTCCTTCATGTGATGTGGAACTTGTAATTCTGGGGTTTTCCATTATGAGTAGTAAAAACAATTTCATAAAATCAGAAATCTGCCCTGAATTCCCTTTGCTGAGGACCATAAGACACTCTTCATACCTTAGGCTCCTGGCTCCTTACTGCAAAGTTCTGCAGCCAGGCACCAGTCAAGCAGGAGAAAAAGACCAATAGCTGTGTTCTGGTGGGCGACAGACCCTTACCAGGGCAAGGGAGGGCATCTCAAACCTCGTCCCTCCTGCCACAATGGCATCTTGTCAAGAGACATCGGTGCCCAGCGATGACACCACAGCCTGGCACAGAGCCACATGGGATTCCTTGAGAGGCAGACAGCAGCCCCGGGCTGCACCCTGAGCACCTCCACTTGATATGCAGTGCATCCAACTTAATGATCTCGAGCACAACCCTGGCCGTGGAGCATCCGCTAATGGAGATGTAGCTCAGCAAAGTAATGACGCAGCTTGTCGGCATCTTATCAGGAAGAAATGCAACAGAAACCTGTCGCCAGGGGAAATGCGATCGGCTTGCCCGAGGCTGCGAGCGGCACCGGGGACACCCTTTGTGCTGAGCAGGTGGCAGGACGCACACCCAGGATGTGAGCTCTCATGCTCTTATTTCTGTTTCAGCCTCATCCCTCACCTCCGGAAGCTCTATTTTCCCCTCATATCTGTCTGGCCTTGTATGATGTTCCAGGCAAAGAAAAGGATTGAGGAGCAGGGTGACTACTGTAACATTCATTCTGAAGCCTAAGAACTAAAAAGAGATGCATCTGGGTGGCCTTAAACATCAAAAATAGATTTTTTTTTTCTACACCTGGAGCCATCGTCCACTGAGTTCACAGTAGACAAGGAGCAGAGTGGCCGGAGGACAAGGACCTCACTCCTCTATCCTGGTTCCTTCTGGCATTTCCCACCCGTACAGGCAGAGTGCCTGCTCCCTTGCCTGGGCACGGGCATTCATTAGAGACAGGCTGAGTATTCCTTCTGGTTCCTGCCTCCAAACTTCTGGAGCAACTTCCACTGTGTCACGTGACAGGCACCAATCTCCACTTCTACACCTTGTTCCTTAAACAGGTCGCAAGCACGAAAAGTAAGGGTGTGTCTTAACCCTGTTTTACCCATTTTCAGCCCATAGAAACGGCTCCAAAATAGTTTACTCGTGAGGACTGCGGGTCTGTGTTCAACAGTGCTTCATTCTCTTTTTCAATCTTTTCACCACCAATCCAAGCTTCTGCATAGAGTAGGCAAAGGCAGGGGATGGAGACGAAACGCAAGTGGCGTATTTTCTTCCTTTTTAAAAAAAAATTTGTATTTTTTATTGAAGTGTGATTGATTTACAATGTTAGTTTCAGGTGTACAGCAAAGCAAGTCAGTTACACAAATACATACTTTCTTTTTTTCAGATTCTTTTCCAGTCGGTATGTTTTCAATGGCCCTCATTACTGGGCTAATGTGAACTCTGAATGTCACGTGCAAACAGCGCGGCATCTCAGAATGGTGAAAGGAGACCCCTTTCAGCAGACACAGTGTTAAGGCCTGGCTGAGCGTGTATGATGTTGTGAGCATCTATCTGCATGCCTTAGGAAAAAGCAAAGTCTTGGATACAGAAAAAACCAGGAATTAATTAAAATTTGTAACTGAGGGATGTATGTTTACTTTTCCTTCCGGAGGAGAGGCCTGTCGGAGAAAATTACAGGGCCCCTTTCCACAGCAGCTCCTGGACACGGGCGTCTCACGGTGGCCAACGCGGCATGTGAAGCTGAGTCATCAGCCCGCGGGGAGGTGGGCTGCCTCGGGCTGTGAGGTCGTTGGTGGGGCCACAGCCAGCGCTGGCTGAGTGGTTTCCCGTGCCCCGTGATTTCTGGTTAGCCTGTTCTGACTCCAGGAGAACAGGACATAGATTCTGTGCTTCAGAAAGTAAACACCAGATTGGAACCAGGGTTGCCTTGCCGAGCCAGGGAACGATGCCGGCTAGGGCGAGTCCCGTGTAATGGGGTGGGTCAGCCACCAGGGGGAGCGCCTCTTATTAATCGGATGCTCCATGGCCAGTTAGGAAAATGTGCCCCAGGTCACTTGCTGGCTTCCAGTGTGAGACGTGAAGGGGTCCAAGATGACAGGTAGGCGCACAGTTACCAAGCAAATGTATCTCGTTCTAATCATCTTCTCATTCAGATGAGGGTCAATTTAACGGGCCTGAGTGCGGGGTGCTGCCTGGGCACCAGCATTCTTGCAAACTCCCCATAAAATTCCAATGAGCACCGCAGGTGGAGGACCCCTGGGTTAGGCGCTGGGGTAGGGACACTTCTTACTCTGCACCAAGTGACGGAAGAAGCAGAGTATAAGGGACCTGGGGCTCAGGCTGACCAGGGTCTAAATTCTGGCCACACCACTGCAGCCCACCCCCCGGCGGTGTGACGCAGGCTGGGGTGTGCTGAGAAACGCCCAGCCACCAGCTCTCCTGGGAGGAAAAGCTCTGGTGCATAGCACCTACCAAATTCTGTGCTGCAAATACTCCCACCCCGGCCAGTTTCAAGCTCGCAGCTGTGACACCAACCAAAATGGAACAATCAGCTTGAAAGTGAAAGTGGGTTTAGGCCAGCCTCCCCCACCACGGCCCTGAGCACGTCGCTCTGTCTCTGCCCCTCAGTGTTCCGCATCTGCAAATGGGGCTGGCAACAGGGGACTGTGAGGATTCAGTGGAGCCACACGAAAAGCATCTGGAAAATGTCAGTGCCAGGCAAAGGGCACTCCTTTTCTGTAAATGGGGAGAGGGTGAAGCCTGATGTACGAACCTTTAAGACAGAGCCTCTGCCTGGGTGAGGATTCAGCTGGGTGTGGATTCATCCGGGCGTGTCTGGAAGCAGGCGCTGGCCCAGACCAAGGTCACTTTCCCATCAGGAGCCCGCCCTTGACGGGATGCAGGCTCTCCCTCCTTGAGTACGTGCTTCTGCAGCCCTGCAGTTTGGCCAGACAGCCCCTAGAGGGCAGTGCCAGGGGGCCGAGCCGGACGGCTGAGGCTCTCACTTTAAAGGGCTGTTAGAGACCAGCACACAAAAAGGACGCAGGAAACTAGACGCCGTTGGTTTGTTAGGGCAACTAGTCCCTGCCCCGTGGGCGGCCGTCTCCCCGCCCGTGCCGACCCCTGTGCCACCGTGATGTCAGAGTCAGGCTGTCAGCTCTCTGCATTGTGATTTTGTCCTTGTCCCCCTCTCCTCTTCCAATGTTATTTTTTCTATTGTAAAAACAGTGAAGCCTGCAAATGTGAAACGGTGCAGCTGCTCTGGAAAGCCGCCTGGCAGCTCCTCAGACGGTCAAACACACAGCCAGCGTTGGTGCTGCAATCCCACAACATCTGCCCGAGAGAAATGAAAACACACGCCCAGGCAAAAACCTGCACACGCACACACACACGTTCCAGGCAGCGTTCTCCATCACAGCCGAGAGGCAGGAAGAACCCCAGCGCAGGGGTGAACAGACAGACAAAACGTAGTGTATCCATCCAAGGAGCTTCTGCCATAGAAAGGAGTGAAGCTCCGATACGGGTTACAACGTGGCTGAACTTCGGAAACACGCTGAAAGAAGTTTCAGATCAGGAAGATGAAAGGGTTCTGGAGATGGATGGTGCTGGTGGTCACACAACAATGCGACTCTGCTTAATGCCACTACACCGTACACCTAAAAACGGCTAAAATGATCAATTTTATGCTACGTATATTTCATCCCAACTTAAAAAGGGGGTTACGAGGCACAATGGAGCGAGTGAGGAGTGTGTGCAACCATTTCAAGATTTAAAACAGGGTCTCAACTCTCCTGCCCCACCTCCAGGGCTTCCAGCATCTCACATGAGCCTCCTTTTCGGGAACAAAAGGCCAAAAAACAAAAAACAAAACAAAACCAAAAAGCCCTGTGTCCACCTGACCTCAAATTTCCTATGAACACAGGCTTCCTTGGTTCCTTCCCAACAAGCCACATGGGTTGTGCTGGTCTAGCCCAGGGGAGGTTGTCGAGGACAGGCAGGTGAGCACTCACTGCAAGTTCTCCGACGGGAAAAGGCAGGGGCTCCCCGAGACTTCCGACGTATCCTCAGGGCCCGGCTCCACCTCGCGGTCCCCCCGCCCCCGGCCCTGGACGGTCGCCAAGAACGCCCCACGCCCAGACCCACACACACCTGCAATGAGATACTCCTTCTTTCCTCCGACGTCCAGCGAGACCCCGCACACGGCAGAGGAGGGCGCCGTGTAGATAAACTCGATGTCCTTGTCGGGTCCCTTGAACATCTGGGAAGAGGAGGATGAGGGTGTAAGCAGCACAGCCAGCAAATCCCGTCCCCACCCAGAGCGCCTGCACCTGGGGCACTGCCAGCACCGGAAAGGGGGCGGAGCGGCACCAGTGAGACAGGTCGGAGACGCCCTCTCCGACTGCACAGGGCTCCCTGGAGTAGCTCCCGCTGCTTGGTGTGGCGGTCGTCACCAGGCTGCACTTAATGTCGCCCGGGGGGCCCGTCTCAGACAGCACATCTGCTCTCCCCACCACGGGTGAGGTCATCAAGAATCTCTGAGGAGGGGGCTTGTGTATCTCCGGGTGATTCTGACCCCAAATGGAGGACCGCTACCTTTGTCTGTTTCCGGGAATTTCGATCAAGCACCGGCCACCTGACGGGGACCGGAGCAGAGAGGCACCTCGGCAACTGGGATGTAACGCCCTGGACAAGGAGAGTTTGGCTTCTCAGCTTCGGATTTTCTCAGTCTTTGGGGAACATGTCTGCTGCCCAGGTGCAGGGGTGCGTGGTTCCTGTGTCCGGGAGGAAGGGAGTTCCTGCTTCTCCGCCGGAAACAATGACAGGCGGGGATATGAGGGTGGGCTGAGAACCGTCCTCCAGCCTGGTGTGGGGGTGCAGCCCACCAGAATCGGGGGTGGGGGTCAGGAAGGGGCGCACACACACACACCCCAGGACCGCACACCAAAGGAGCCTAAACAGGGCTGCAGAAGGCGGACCCCGCAGGCTCTGCAATCCCATGGGAGCCGCCTCGGGTCACGTGCTGGTGAAACCACGGCTAATGGCGTTGTTTGCTTTTGTCGGGGGGAGTCTCAGTAAGCAAACCCAAACGGAACAGGGGTCCTCCCAGTGTCACGATGAACTGGCTTCGCAGGAGCTGAGGAGGTTATAAATGACATCTTTCCCCAAAGGGCTAAATGTGCTTCCTTGGGGTCAACACCTGCTTTTCATGACCCCTCAGTGCATCCTAAGAGCAGAGACACTGTCTTTCCCGCTTCATAAAGAGATTCGGGTCCTGAGAGACCAGGTCACCCCTTTAAATGACACAGGCGTGATGACTTAGTGTTTCATCGACCCTGGTAACTTTTATTCTCTGCTTTTTATTTTTGTGATAAAATTAAATATAGGCGGGGCACAACCACGAAGCAGGTCGCAAAGCTGCTCCCCTCAGCTGGAGCCTCGCGTCTCTTCCCTCCTGTAGACTGAGCTGGTCACCACAAATGACCCCCAGCAGCCCCCGCCCTGCCCCGACCTCCCCCGTGTCCTGCCTCCCGTCCAAGCACGGGCTCCTTGCCACATGCCCTTGAACATGACCAACATTCTGAAAAACCAACAAATGCCTCGCCACCTCCCCATCGATCCGCAGCCCCCAGCGCCTGCCCCGTCCCTCCCCCACCTGGAGAAGCTTCTTCTCCAGCACCGACCAGGCGACAGGGTCCACTTCTTCCTCAACTCCCTTCTCCCAGGAAGCTACCCCAGCACACTCGTCTACAGGAGGCCCCCTCCCTTCAAATCCCACCCCCCTTAGGACGTGAAGCTAACCGGGCAAGACTAGACCCCGCCGGCAGTTGCGGGGAGCTATGTCACCCACTCTCACATCGATCGTGGGCTCCCAGAAGAAACGGCCATGTTCTCGCCGCCTTTGAAACCACCAAGGAGAGGTGGAGAGGCGCTCACGGGACATTCCACAGATGCTGCGAACTTGGCGACAGTGCCAAGGCTCTGCCACCGATTTATAGCCGTCAAAGTGGAGACAACACATGCCTGAACCTCACCGATGGGAACACACTCTGTCCACACAACTTCTCAGGAATTGATGGACTAAGGAACATCGGATCCACCTGGGGCTTGACGCCCTTACTGTCTGCCCCATGGGCGGCTGGACTGTGTCCTGGGGACCCAGCGGTGGGGCCCCTCTGCCTGGACTCCAGCCTCTGGGGGGCCCAGCCCCGCTCCCAGCCCTCCCGCAGCTGCGCGGACGCAGCGGCCCGGGGAGGCCCCGCACCTTTATCTGCTTGACCTCATACTGGATGCGCTTGATGGGGTTGCCGTAGATGTCGTTCCCGGAGTCCACCTCCTTCTCGCTGACCGCTTTGGCCCGAATCACTGCGAAACGAAGACAAGGAGGTGAGCGCAGCCCCGCAGG